TATAAGCAAAGGAGAAGTCTGCAGGGCTGCTCTTCAAGCAATGTCACAATCCAGCAGTATACACGTTTTTTCTGGTCTCACCTGCGGAGCGGGTGATCAAGGAGTAAGGGGTTGGATCAGTCTGGCAGAACCCCTATACACTCAGTGCGATGGGGAACCGTTCCACATCATGAACCCCGTCCTATGATTGATAATATGTGTTGGTTTTACTGAACTATCGGTTGTGGCCAAGTCATATGGTACTTAGGGTATTTATGCAATGTGGAGGAGTGGGGGATTTGCAAAAGCAGAAGGTGCCATAGTCCAAATGATTCCCAGCGGATAATCAACACGGAATTCTGCAGTGTACAAGAGGCTAGGAATCACCGAGGTAATAGGGAGGTTGTCCAACCTCATCTATAGTAGGTATCTGTAGTACCAGTATCCTTATGCTATTCAACTCTAAGTTCAATTGTGCAATTCCTCACGTTCAGATACACTAAGGCCTGGTTCACACCTGGGCATTTTATAGCGCGTTCCTACACGCTGTAAAACGCTCAACATGTGAAAAGCAATGATTGCCTATGGGCATGGTTCCCACCTGGGCGTTTTACAGCGTGTAGGAACGCGCTGCAAAACGCCCTACGCCAAAAGAAGTACAGGAGCTTCTTTGGGGCATTTTGCCGCGCGTTTCCATTGGTGTTCCCGAATGTGGATCGGGGTTAATAAAGCGGTAACCCCGATCCACACTCGGGAATACAGCGTACAGTTCTTACCTTGTCCGCAATCCCCGCTGTGTCTTTGGCGGCTGCCGACTTCAGGGTTCCGTCCCTTGCGAGCGGCCGCGTCGCAGGGGGGCGGAGCCGACGGGAAGTTTAAAAGTGAAACTAAAAAAAACAAAAAAATGTTTAACCTCCCTGGCGGTATGATTATGTCAGGAATTTTGTACCAAAAGCGGTACAATTTTTTGCATGGAAATGTGTTGTTTATATTGTAGGCCTGTAATTCTTAGTAAATCTTAGGAATAACTCACCTAAATCTGTCCAAACAAGAGTCCAGTAGACATCCCAGGTATGATAAAAAAAATTATAATATAAGTCATTGAAAATTCACCCCGAGCCAGACTCGGGATTACCGCCAGGGAGGTTAAATAGAGAAAATAAAGGAAAAAAAAAATCATACCGCCAGTGAAACGCGCGTTTCACTAAACGAAAAAACGAGCATAAAAAAAACGCTCAGGTGTGAACCCAGCCTAAGTGACACAGTTCATCCAATAGAAGTAACATATAACATATAAGATCCCCTAGTACTTGCGGTTCCTGTGTGTGGACAAGGAGCAGGTCTAGCCCGGTCAGTTGGAACTGGTGCTGTGTCCTTGGGTAGCAGTGTCAGCACCACTCTCTCTTACTGTCTCAGCAGGAAGCTGTGTCCCTGAAAGAGCCACTCGCTCGACGTTCCACAACAATAGAATGCCGAGTGAGTGGCTCACCTGTGTCCGCGGCCAGTGGGAGGAGTCGGGCGTGACGTCATGGACGGGAAGGCGCGCCACGGCCTGTTCGGTCGCACATCTTTTGTCTAGGGAGCACGCTAGAAAACTAGCCGAAAATCGTACGTTTTTTGGCTGGTTTGAACGGTGCTCGGGAGACAAATGCCGAACGGGCCGGTGGTGAAACGGATTTGTAGTTTCAGCACAGCTGGAGGGCCAGAGTTTGGCTACCCCTGGTATATATCATGTCTGCAGTCTTCCCTGCTACTTTATCGTTTCTGTCATGTTAATATGTGGATTGAGCAGTCTATTCATCTAGGATATATTATATTTGATATATAATAAGTTATGTCTAGAAAAATAAGAATAGAAATATGCATTTACTACATTTTATATCTTTATTATTTCTAGATGCAGCAGGAGCATCATCTACATCAGGTTCCCGAGTATTTCAGCCATGGCTGTTGGGTCTGACGGCGGTAGTGGTGTTCCTCTTCATTGTATTTTCCTTGATGATAATAAATAGATTGTTCTGCAAGAAAAAGAAGTATGTACAATGCTCTCTGAAAGAGCAATGTTATCCCTTACATGAAACATGCCCTTTCCAAGGAGCACATTTAGCTTGTTTTCCTTCAGCAACTGGTTTTACTCAGAATACTGAGACAACATAACAATGAGCCTGTGGTAACATGGATAAGAAACTAGAAAGCCCTCCTCTAAAGCTTTGCAAACATGTCTCCGCCCACTGTTCTTAAATAAGGAATTAATCGCTTGTTTCTACACGTTGTTCGGTGTTTAAAGTGATAACATGACCTGTTATAAGAAGGCAATGCTTTATATGCCTAAGCGACTCTACTTAGGTTTTTGGTCCCTTTAGACCAGGGGTAGGCAACCTCAGCATATAAATGTAGCCATTGCTCTCCCCATAAAACGAATGGTTACATTTATATGGTCATTCTCTCCACAGGTCTCTTTAAATGGTAACATTGTATCTCACTACTAACATGTATTCATTTCCAAAGATCCTTAGCTCCAGCTACTGGCCATATTGTGGTATTTTCCCCATTCACTCTATTCCAGGGGTAGGCAACCTTGGTACTCCAGCTGTTCCTAGGATAGGCAACCTTGGCACTCCAGCTGTGGTGAAACTTCAAATACCATCATGCCTCTGTGAGCCATGCCTAAAGGTGCCCATACACCTTACAGTTATCGGCCGATTTCCGTCTGCGATCGTGGTTTCGTACGATAATCGGCCAGTTGATGGGAAGTGCACAACCGCAATTACTGTGCAACTGGCCGATTTTCGTCAAGCAGACTAGAGAATTTTCGTCAAGTTGGACGAAAATCGACGGATTAGTGGCATTTTCGTACAACAAAAATCGCATGATGAAAACTGCACATGTGCAAGCGAAAATTTGGTCTTTCGATCGATGAAAATTGACCAGTTAGTGGTGCTGACAAATGATAATCACAAACTACATT